ATCTATATATTTTTTTTATATATAGATATCTCAGTGTAGAGAACTGCAATTAAAAAAATTAGTTCAGATAGAGACAGGAGTCCTGTGTTTTCAGCTGTGATTAATGATTAGGGGGAAGCAGAGGAATCTGTGTTGACTCGTTAGTGTAGAATCAGCTTGAAGAGGGAAATAAACCCCTTTTAAGCTGTGGTATGTTCAGCCCCCCCACATGCACTTCCCAACATCATTAGATCCTTGAGAAAATATAAATGTCTTTGTTACAGAAAAGGTAACAGCATCTGCAGCTTTAAGAGCAGTGTTGTTGAGTCACTGTCCTAGCAATTTAATTTGTAACAGAGAAGTGATGACCAGCAGTTGGCATTAAAAGCTAGTCCTGAAAGGGTTTCAGAGACCCCATGGGAGAGAGCCTGGTTAGGTTTGGGTTCAGGTGGTGACCCTCCCTCCTGGGGGGACATCAAAGGAAGCGGGGAGGGGGGGGGGAAACCAGTGTCCTGTATGACAGGAGGAGGAAGGATAAGCAGCCAAGTTAAGTGGCTTCTAGTTGAGCCCCTAAAAATTTCTGCCTATAAAAGTGTCTTGAAAATTATACTTTTAGAAGCTCTTGTAATTTTAGCCTGTGTGTAGGATTTTGTGAAATCTTTTAATTAAAAGTAAGATAGAGGTCTCTTGAGTGCTGATCTGCAATGCTGTGCATGTAAGGCCAAACCTGTAGTTATGGTTGAGCCAACGAACAGGAGAAAGAATTTTGTCCTACTTAGGGTTACAGCACTTGATCCATAGTGTTGAAATAGAAAGAATTGCAAAAACCATTTGCACTGCCCCTTAAAATTTATCAGATTTGAACAAGCATTTAACTCATTGTTTCTAGGAGACACTTAAAAGCAAATTAAAAATAAAAGCTTACAGTATAGTTTTAAGGGATTGTTTCCCTGAATATTAACTTCAGGAAATATTACGGACATTCCTTCTAGTAATATTTGTTTGAATGCTGCTCGTGAGTTACTAGCAAGTTTTGCTCACATATGATAATGTGTATTTATCAACAGATTCTTGTGCAGGTGCAGTGCATCATACAGAGTTGCAGAAGCAGGTTTTCGTAGCTGTACACTCTCTAGATAAAATATTTTAAGATTTGATCAAAGTTTAAAGTAGCCAAAGTTTTAGTTAAAACGTCGTCAATAAGTTGCACAATTTGAACAAGACACACATCAGTCATTCTTTTGCATTTCATTAGGTTACTTCTGCTTTTTATATGAAACTGTCTCCTGAGGATGGATCTCAAAAGCATTTCTGCTTGGCCCAGTTCATCAAATCACTAAATGTGTTACCCACATTTACCCAACATTTGAGTAGTGTTCTGACTACCATGGACTTCAAGTCACGCATATCTATGCAGTAGGAATGGGATTTGGCTCACCCTTACTGCAGAAAGAGAGAGAGCGAGCGCGCTATATATGAATATATATACACACCTGTATAGACCTGTAAGATTTGACTGTAAAGTGGTCTAGCCTAGCTGCAGATACCCACAGTGAGGATGTCTCAGGGCAAGCAGGGTAAAACTTTTGCTTGCCATGACTACCTGCATTGGACACCAGAGTGATGCAAGTAAGCCAATGTAGAACCTCTTTTCCAGTTTTAGTTTAAAATAAATTAAAAAATACATTTTAAATGTTGGGCTCTGCTCTGATGTATTTAATTTATAATACTGTCAAAGGATTCTTGCCTGATCTGATCATATTTGTGTTTTTAAGAATTACTGCGTTGAATAATTCCTTTTCACTTGTCAGTTAAACTGTAGACCTTCAATATTATTTTACTGTGGCTTTCCCTGAAACACCTTTCTTGTAAGGATGTGAGCTTGTGAACAAATCACCACACATAAACTAGGGTGTGAGCTTAATATCATCACCTACTGTGCAGTAACTACTCTTTCTCCCAGGATAAGTCCCCAGTAGTTTATTCCCTTGTATTAAGGGATAAGCATGTTGTATTTACTCTGGGATAGGAGTGAACACATACGCCACAGCTGACACACTGCAAATAACACACCCTGATTTATCCTGCAGTAGTTTGTATGCCCATCTCCTAAGACACAGCTAAAAACTTGCTTTATGACATTCAGGTGAAGCTTAACCAGTTTAAACAGTAACAGCCTCTTTTTTTCGGTTTAGCTAAGACTTATTGCAACCCTGATTATTTGGAGTTTTTTATTGTTAGTCACAAAGATTTTGATTAATTAGCTTTTTTTTGTAACATATTTTGACAGTATAAAGCCTGACCATTAAGCATAATAACTTCTTGTTATGTCACTTTACCGTTGTCTCATCCTATTTCAATGTAGTGTCTGATTTAGGCTTTTTCTCAGTCTCCTTTTTGACTACAGTTTTTTTTACTTGAAACAGTGACAGCTGTATTCTGAATTTGAAATATAAGAACTTATGAGATACATAAGAGATAGATGTGTACTGTTTAAGTTGCTGCTTTAATGCTAAGTTGGACCAGGTTGCTGAAGGAATAAGAAACTGCAAAACTCAACTGCAATTAAAGGAATATTTTAATGTTCTAACGTAATTTTCTGAATTATCACAATAGGGAGATCCCACAGGCACAAGCACTATGCATAGTTGTATGTCTACCAGTTAAAATCTGCAGTATTGTCTGGCAAAGTACAATTATTTTTTTTTTAACCCAGCTGAGCTTACCCTCAATGTCATCTGAGTGATTTATCTTCTGAGGGTCCACAATGGGCTTAAGTGAGATTTTTATTATTTTTTTCTGTCATTCCAGCCAAACTCATTTGGTTTCTACTTTCTGACCACAGAGAAATGATCCATCACTTCAGAAACAGACCCTTAGAACTAATATAGAAGACAATAGGATAACATAGTCATTGCAGTTCAAACGTGAAGAGCACTATATAAATGTGAGGTTCTTCCTCAAGTGAAATCTTTCCAGTCCCTGCTAGGTCTCAGCTGTTCCGAGAAGGACTAAAGCCTTTCCTGCTCCAGGCCTTTGCCCTGCTCTAATGACTGGTGACTACTCCAATGTGTAGACAGGTGAAGCTGCTACCTGCATCTGGGGACCATATTCCTGTCCAACTAGGAGTAACTCTTGTTCAAACTGTAGATTATAGTCAGTCACAGTACATGAGGTAGGGCTTTCTATCACCTTGGCCTGTGCTAATGGCTGGAGACAGGGAGAACTGGAAGTTTAGTGGCAGAGTAGAGGGCACTTAAATTTTCTAGCAGTTCACCAGGATTAGCAACTTCAGTACATCATCCATCCAAGACCAAGTACAACAGTGCTGTTTCTTTTGCTGCAGCTTCCCTTTGTTGTGTGACTAGTGATTTTGTCTTCCCGAATACTTGTTTAGTGAGAAACGCATTTGGAACTTCCATCTCTTTATTTTTTAGAGTCTTATTACAAATAACTTTTAGAGTTTTTCTTTCAAAGCTAGAAGGTATGCTTTGTTCAATTTAGTAACCATACATCTGGAAAAGAAACACTTTTTGTTAAGAATAATGTAGGAGTGGTTATTACAAATTAGATTTTAATGACACTACATTGAAGTTCCTGTTTGCATGGATTTTGAAAGTACATCATATCATATTGAACTGAGCTTCTGATGATTTGATGCTGCGGGAAGAGTAAGATTAACATTACTAAGTATCTTTGTAAGAAGTGTTGTATTGCTGTATGGGGGTTTATATTCTTCAACATCCAGCAGTCATTCATTTTGTGTAGTGTTCTTTCCGTAGTGTCTGTTACTCGAAAGAACTGCATGGAGTTCCAAGTTGCTAATAACTTTTTGCTGTACAGCCCAAATAATAGATGATTAATTTGATTATCTGTCTCTTTAAGGTTAATTTAAATTCATTTTTTCCTGTGAGACTATGTATTGTTACCAGGAGCAGTTAGCAGTGAAAATATGTACGTTTTGAAATGTAATTACTGGTCATACCTAATAACTGATTTTTAATTCAGTCATTTTAAGAAATGAAAAGACCACCTACTTGCTATCACCATTTTTAATATCCAGTAAAAGTAATTTTATTATGAAATACAGGATATCTTTTTTCTTTATTAAAAGCTCAAATTAAATAATTAAGAACATTTTGTTAGAATACAAATTGGCTAATAGCTTGGGAAAATGTTTTGAAATCTGTTGCGATACCATTTATATGACAAATAAGAAAACTAATAACTAATTAGGTTGAAAGAGCTTTAGTAAGTAAGAAAATGAAACCTATTCAATATACTCTAGATGAAATGACCTTTTGAAAGACCTATTTTTGAATAAACAAGGTTATATGGTAAATAAATACTGAAAATTCATGTAAGGCTAGGACTTTATGTATTAAGAGTTATGAAGCAGACCTTTTCACATAAGCCTTCAAAATACAAAGATCTGATAAAATGGTTTCAATTTTTTTCTGTGTTAAATCTGTTTAATGATTTTTTTTGTTGTCGTTTTGTAGAACCGGACACTGAAATAGCTTCATCTTCAAAGCCAGAAGAAAGTTTCTGTGCTGACAATTACAATCCCTTCAAGGATGAAGATGCCCCAGAGTGCTTGAACCCATTTGATGAGCCAGATCCTGAGCCTGAAACATTTGTAACTGTAAGAGATTCTCCTCCGCAACCTGCAAAAAGGAAGAACGTCAGACCAGTGGATATGAGCAAATACCTCTATGCGGATACCTCTAAAGCTGAAGAGGAAGAGCTAGATGAGTAAGTATCATTCTTCATCTTTCAGCAGCTTTGTAAGCATTAGTGGGATCCCTGGCTTAATCTTGAGGTGTATTGGGTTCAATGATGGTGATTCTTAATCACCTCCTTAGGACAGACTGATCCTTAGGCACCTCAGCAGCAGGAAATACCATACCCCCAAGTCATGCTATTCAGCTGAACATGATCAGTTAGGAAACTTTCCTTTGCCTCACTGATAGCAAATTACTTGATAGGGAACAAGTCTGTGTACCTTTTTGGCACTTCATGCCCTGCCAATTGCAAATGAGCTAAAAATTAAGGAGCAGCAGAGCTTGGTCCTTCCTGTGCTTTTTGCCATTATTTTTACTACATAAAATAATGATTTTTGTTAATGATAATGGAGGATTTGTTTTATATTCGTGCAGTATGCAAAAAAGGAGAGCATTGTGCAGTCGCATAGGACAGTTTTGAGAGTCTCATAAAACTGAGTCTTTATATGGGAAAGATAACAGCATATGCACTTTCTTAGGTTGTTTCTTCTATCATGACCACACATAAAACTTTTATAAACTCACACTGACTGCCTTGTGTTATGGTATAGAAACCTAACAAGGAGTGAGAGCTTTTTGCAATAGCTGTGCAGCTTGGGAGGTTTGGAGGTATATACTTACTCCTTGTTTGTGGTCATTAGTCACCAACCACACCACTCATGAAACAGTTTATGGTGATTACATGTGAGTAATTTTACAGACAACAACTGTAATTAACACTTAGTTTTTCATTATTTAATGAGATTTATCATGGCATGACTTTTACATTGCTTTCATATTTAATATTAACACAGGCGTCGTATCATCATCTTCATGTTTCTCTGTTTATAGCTGTGTTCTAGGAAATTGAAGAATTCCCATGCACTCTAATAGAAATGTATAAAGGACCCTGTGGGGTTTTTTTCCTTTGAAAGCTCCGTGGCCATGGATTTCTTGTTGTTGTTTGTTCTGTGAAAAAAAAAGAAAAATGGGCATTGGGGAATGATGTCTCTGCCAACTCCATTCATTAGGGCTCTGCCTGAACAAACAGCACTGGCTGCTGTGTCTTCAGAGCACGATGTGATCACACTGTTGATGGTCACACCAGGCATCCCTGATCAGATCACCAGAACCCGCAGGGAGAAAAAGTATGGATACTTTTCACCTGCAAAGATATGGGTATAGGGGACAGTAGAGACTGAGGAGAAGAGCAGAAAGAGCAAAAGCTACATGGATGGGCAAGTGAAGAATTTTCTCTTTTTTATATTTATACTCACATTTTCACCGTAGGGAAATCTGTGCCAGGCTTGCAGCAATGTAAGAGGCAGCCTTGTTTTTTGTGTGTACTGGACTGAAGATTTCTCTAGCCCTTTGTTTACAACAGCCGCCTTCTTATTTTAATGACCCTATTTGCTTTATTCCTGTTGTTGGGTTTGTTTGGTTTTTTTTTTAACAAGGATAAAAATAAGCTCCCCATAGGTGGATTCTACTTGAACATAAATCTGAACATAAGTTTTCATTATAAAAGCATTGTCCCATGGGGAGGTGGAAGGATAAGGAGTCAAAAAGCACTATAAAATAGTTTTTTTACATCTTTTACTTAAGTTTTTTAGGTCCTCGTCCCCCAAGTAGCTTCCTTTCCACGTTTTCCTCCCAGGTTATAGGAGCACCATGTCACTGAAAAAGACTTGGAGACCATTTGTTCAATGTATTGGGTAGAAGCGTGGCAAGGAGAACCTTTGAATCTTTATACTGAAACACTCTGGAAGAATAAGTGTAGTAATAAAACTCCAGCGCAGGAACACAGGACTTGTGATACTAACTCAGACCTACAAGCACTATTATGCCTTACCTCATGTCATTAATTTTGAAATTGTTCAGTAAAAAGTTTTTGCTAAGGTATGGTAAGATGAGCACCAAAGGAAAGATTTTCATAGGTAGTGCCAGCTGGTAGTTTTTGTGTACCCTAAATCATGAAGGTTTATGTCCAGATGTGTATTGTTTCTTATCTAATGGGAATATTGATGCTTTTATTATCTACATAAGTGGATAAGCTTGTTCCAAACCCTATTAAAGCCTAGGCTTTAGTGCCCATTTGTGACAGACAGTTCCACAAAAACCCAAGATCTTATATGAAATGTGTTTTCCTTTATTGATTGCAAATCAGTCACCTTTCCAGTCCCATACACTGTCTCTTCTTCTGGCTTATCAAAATGACAATTAGTAGTATTGGATTTATCTGCCATAAACAGTTGCTGTGTTGTGTCTCTCTAGCATGTTCACCATTACTTGTCACTTGTCTGAATTAAATGGTGCTAACTTTTTCAATCTCTCTTCATACAGAAGTCTCTTCATCTCTGTAATAATTTTCATCGCACGTCTCTGGACCCTGTTATTTCTTCTGCTATGTATCTATTTTAAGATGTGTTGACTTGGCCTGAGCAGTGTATTCAAGACAAAGCTGAACAACTGAATCATATCACAGCATTAGAAAACTTTGCATATTATTTTCAACCTCTCTCCTAATGTCTTTTGATTTTTATTGTTTTGTTTTGGGTAGTTTTTAATAATTTTTGACTGCTCCTGATCCGGTGCTTTCCCCAGGAGTGGTTTTAAATCTCATAGATGGAAGGCATGAGAAATAGAAGGCTCCTGAAAAACATTTACTGTTGCTCAGGAAATACAATGTAGTTTTATCCCTGTGTCGTAAACATTTCATTGGAGTTTGCGTAATGCACCACTTGGCATTTTCCTCTTGTATTTTGTGTGAAATGCGATGATGTATCATGGGAACATGGAAACACAGTTAGCATCAGGACCCTTGTCCCACTCCACTCTGGCAGATCCCTAGTTCTGATTCTGGACTCAGAACTTACACAAAGTGCCCCAAGAGCTGAACTCTGACTCCAGTTTTGTAACAGACTCTTGCTGTAATCTTGGAAAAGGTACTTACCCTCCCTGTGCCTCTGTGAAGGATTTGCCTTGGGTAGTTGGCTTGATTGAAACGTATTTCACTAATGGTTGTGAAGGTAGCGTAAGATTTCACAACACGCATAAGCAAAGCATAGTCACAAGCATAAGCATAGTGAGGTGTTGTGTGGTACAGAGGGACTTAGATGACCCAGTATGTATATTCTGCTGCAAAACTATGCTCTCAAAACATACTTCCTCTGGCTAAATTCTCATATCTAACTAGAGATAAGGAACACGTTTTCCTTTTATTAGTTTGGGCGTTTGTCAGTGTAAAATTCTGCTTTTGCCTTTTTGAATTCTGTACATTAAAATCAAAATGGTGGGCGGCTACCTGTTAATAAAAATGGCATACCTTGCTAAGTTAAGTTTAATTATTTGACAATAGCATAGCTCACAGCTACTTAAAGTATGGTTTCAACCCTAGTACTTCTGTTTGGTAATATTACCTGATCTGTTAACCCTAACACACTGACAGCTTTGTTATTGCTCCTCAATAAAATGTTGATTTTTTTTTTTTCAGTTGACCAGTAACGCTGATCAAAATAATTTTTAAATTGGTCAGAATAAAACTTGCTCTCCGATATTATTTGGCTGTCTGGCTCCTTAACTCATTAATCATTGCATGGCTTAGAATAATGCTGTCTAATTGGAAAAACTATCGAGTTGCCATCTGTCGAAGCTGCTTGTTGCTCAAGAAGCCACAAGCCACCACACTAACAGTGATAGCTTGATGCCAGGTAGTTTGTCAGGTTTGGTTTTTTTACTTTTGTGATGGACAGTCTAATATATCTTTAGGCAAATCATATTGTGTGGATCAATTAAATAACTTCACAGAAGCAAAAAGTATGGAAGCTAACCTCAGAGAAAAGTGCTGTAATATTTTTCAGCTAAGGTTTTTTTCAGCCAGACTTTTCCCATGCTTAGTTTCTTGTATAGCCGCGTGGAACCTGTGAGACTTAAACTCTGCTACATATATCAGACCCCCATGACTTCAAAATTTATAGCCTCCTCAGGCAAGAACAGTTTTGGGTTTTTTTCTCTATTAGACTTAATTTTTCAAAAATCTTTCTCAATATTTGTAAGAACAATTAAAAGCTGTGGAGAAGGGAAGGTGGAAAGTAGTGTGTGTGTTCCACGCATACTATGACCAAAGTATGAGGGTTTAGCCTGGCTTTCAAGCAAGTTCTCTAGGAAAAAAAGGCAGTCACTTGTCTCCTTATAGCACTTCCTCCTGGTGTGTGCAGTAAAGTACAATTCTTCAAGATTGCATACGCAGCACAAACAATTCTGGAGCATATAAATTCAAAAGGTGGTTCTTCCAAACTTTTTTACTCTCATTGATAAGATTTTTTTTTTCCTCGCACCAAATTAATTTTAACACCTTACAAATACACCTTTCTAATTCCAAGTACACAAAGGTAAATTACTTTCCTGCCAAACATGCTATGTCTGTTGGCTATTCAGAAGACTAACTTGTTGCACTAAAGAAAACCTTGTGCTCTCCTGTAGAATGCATTGTTCTTCAGCCTTTATCTCTTTTATCTTCATTTTCACCTCCCTTTGAACTTTCTGGTGTCTGAAGACAGCTGAGCTGGACTGTCAGCTAAATTAGAGCTACTGACAGCTAGGTGCATTCTCCACTCCAGCCTGAATACCCTCCTTTTTCTACTGCCTCCCATGGAAAACACCCATCCATTTCTATTTAACTCATTATTTTGATGTTGCCTTTAGTTTTGATTGCACTGGTGGCTTTGTGCGTGATGGGCAGAAAAGTGGGAACACCTGAAAGTTGCCTTTTCATCAGTCAGCAGATGAGTTATTTTAGTGCTAGTTTTTCTTTCTGCCTTGATATCTGAATTTAGATCTTTTTCTCTGTAGCAAGCAGTGGCAGGTTCTCAGCAATGTCTGGAGGTTTTAAGCCCAGTCTTCTCTCGCGTGCTTCAGTAATCTCTGCCTTTCAAAAGTAGACTTACTTTCTGTGGTGTGGATTATTAATTGCTTGTTTTTTCTCAGTGAAAAGAGGATGACTGTAAACTGCATTAAAATAAATTCTAAAATCAGTCCATGAGACTGAAAGACATATTTTCATACTAGAACTACACAAAACAGAGAAATTTGGTGTTGTGTGAAAGGAAACTGCATGAATAGTTGGTTTTTTGCTTGTGCCCAAATTTTTCTGTTGTAGTTCTTTCAAAACAGCATGTACTAGCTCATGACTCTTATCCTGAGTGGAAATTTGTAAATGGATCTAGCTAGGTAGGCTCTTGTCTAATGCTGTATGCATTATTGTTTACGTCTAGAGTTGAATTAAAGAGACTGAGGTTATTTGTTATGCTTTATGTAAGTGTATGCAGATAGATCTTTGGGAATTGCAGTGACTTGGTTACATAAACATTGTTTGAGATGTATCATAAATATATCTTGCAAGGGAAATATGGACTGGAAAGAAATTAATTAACATATCAGTTTAGTAACTAACCATCCAGTTTTGGGTTGCAAAATACGAAAAGTGAAGATTATGAATAAAATAATTCAGTGCAAAGAAGTTTCCCATAAGTATCCTTAGCAGGACACAAAATTTCTGGCTCTTCTAAGTGTATAGTAGAAGCCATTATTTGGTGTATTATTGATTGATATTTGATGTATCAAACTAATAGATAAAATTTGGAAATGCTGTGGAAGTATTTATTTAGGGTGGAACAAATGTGGAGTTGGAACGTGAATGCCAGTGCTGAAAAGAATGATTCTTTGGGCTGCATCCACTTGGTGGAAGATGTTTACTGTGTTTCTTAAATGAGGTTTAGTTATAAAAAGTGCTTTCAAAATAGGCAGATGATGGTCACTGGTATCTGTAGAGAGGTATACATGTGTCAGCTGTGGTTTTCTTACACTGTTCTCGTATCCAAAGAGTGTTCTGGAAATGGTGTGGTGCCTGCATGCTGCAGAGTTTAAAGTACACTCAGTGTAGATTGTGTACCTACGGAGGCCATAATTGTCAGACTTGGCCAACGAAGAGTGAGGCCCTTAAAGCCATGTTGAAGCATGCATGTAAAAGTGGCCGGATTCTTAAATCTGTTCTAATGAAGCATTCTTAATTGTGTTTATTAGAATATTAAAGAGCCAGCAACTTCACTCAAATTTGTTGGTATTGAGCTTGTCTGTAAATAAGATCACTCTTTGATAGATAGCTAAGTATAACTGAAGAGTTAGCTTTATGCAATTGATAAAGCTTCTGTAATTTACAGGACTTTATAAAACTTATGGAAATTCTGACCTAATGCAGTTTTAACTGTTGTAACTCTTCAATCATGTGAAAAAGTAAATCTAAAAGAATGTAAAAGCAAAACATACTCTTATGTGGGATAATAAAAGCATTTTAGTCCTTGGCTTCTCTTAACAGGTCTTATTTTCAATTTTTAATTCCAAGGAGATAGCAAAGAAATATATTTCCCTTCTTTTGATTAGATCAAATCCATTTTATGAACCAAAATCAAGCCCTGCTTTAATTAAAGTTGCTCCACTGCAAGAACCAGAAAAGAAGATGAAAAGAAAGGCTCCTGAACCACCAAACCTCTTGCCAAGGACAGAGACAGGAATGAGTGAGAACATGTCAGCTATTCCTGCATCGAGGGAGCTTTCTTCTTCTCCTAAGGTAGGTTTTTCATAACAAAATTTTGTCTTTGTTATTAACCATACCTTTATGTGTATTGCAGACATCCTATTTATTTCTGCAGGCCATCTTAAAAGCTTTGCTTATACTTAATAAGGTGTTGGCTCATCTCTGTTCACTTGCTGGCTCATAGGGAGAGTGCAGCAGTAGGAGCCTGTATTTTTTCTTTAAGGATTTAATGACAATAGTAACAGCAACTACAGTTTCAAAGAAAAGAGTCTTCCAGTAACAAATGTTACAGGACAGCTGGATATGCCATCGAGAAGGAAGAAGATAATGTTGAACAATACTTTGTCTCGATCTATTGTAATGCCGCTAAGCCTCACCCCTGTTGAAGGGTCTGTCTCCACATATCTGTCATAAATCTGGGTTTTAAGAGCTTGGTACTGGATGCTGTTTATTTGTATTGGGATTTACATAAGTGCAACTACATAGGTATGTTTTTAAACATTTAAAATAAAGGTTTTAAACATTTTAATAAAAGGCAGTCTATTTTAAATGAGAATAACTGTTATTAGGAACGTCCAGACTAAGCATACTTATATGTGCACATTACATTTGTGTTTGTCAAGGGAAAATATGAGTTAATCCCTGTTGAAGAGGGGCGATATGCAGCTTAGGTATTTTAGGATTACAACAGCTAACTTCTGTTAGTGTGAATTTTAACTCTAGTGTTTCAGCAGTTAGCACCTCTTGTGCTTTTTTAAACAAAATAAGCATTTAATAGTATATGTTAATGGGCCCTTCTTAAAAATTAATTTGGTACATGCTAACTGCTTGTTTTGAAGGGCAGGAAGATGAGGACAAAAGGCTTCCCTTCCAGTTTGTCTTGCCCAATTTATGCATATTGTCGTCTGTTTTGCCTTGTATTGGAGCTGCTGTACTTAAGACTTGAATGAAACTACTTGTCATACCTACCATTTCATTGCTTAATTATGCAGCCAGATTGCTGACATGTCTTTGTCCCCTCAGGCTCTGATCTTGCTGTCATTTTACCACTCAATCAGGGTAAAAAGTATGAGACCAGAAATCTAATCTGTGTCTGCTCACAGCAAAACAAAACAACATAGTAAGGCCACAAGCGCAATTCACAAGTTATTCTTAATATGCAAAACCACAACCAGGGAAGTATGAAATCAAAGCATAGCAGTTTTCTAATGCTTTGAGATGGGGTTCAATCCTGTTTGCTGGAGTTTCTGTATGAAAAATATTGCACATTATTTGATTTCTGGTAGAATCTGGCCCTCGGGTCAAAGCAAAGTGGCTGAAGTAAAGCATTCTGGTACTACCAGGCAGAGAAAAGACATCTGTGGAGGAGATTTTATCAGGTTGCTTGATGGAGGTTGTGCCCCCATTGCTCATTGTTTGAGAGTTGGGTTTTTTTACAGGTCTGCATCCAAGGAAATATATCTTTCTGCTTTATTTCCTGTCTTCATTGTGCTGAAATAATGTATTACTACTGGGTTTGGTTGTTGTAGTTTTTGTCTACCCCAGACTAAGTTTTAGATTGTCTGAAAGCTGGAATTGATTAAGAAAAGATGCAGGATTGAACCTGCTGAGAAGACCGTGCTGTTACGAACACAGTCAGGTAGTTCCTGCTCTTATGCAGGGTATTAGTTTCCAAATATTTTTGGTCCCTGCCTGCTTGCAGCCCACTTCCCTGCCACTGATGCAGAGGCACAGCTGAGAACAGCAAAGGTCCAAGTACTGAAACTTTGATATTCATTAGGGCTGTGAGGGAAGATGGAGCTCTATGCTGACCTTCTCTTGTACAGGAAAGCTTTAATTTTTTTTACAGGATTTTGGAGGATGTGAGACCATTAGGGAAGGCTCCAAAGCAGATGCAGTGTCCTGGTTTATTATATTACAGATAGAGTGGAAAGTTTTGCTGACTGGGTGTATTAAAATATTGTACGGTCACTTGCAATTCAGAAAGCTTTCTGTAAGCACAGTCTTTTTTGTGTGCATGAATTGTTTTGCTCTAAGGTGGTCTAATAACATTAGATCAAAAGCACTTTACTTGCAATACTTTTTGAAATTCGGAAAAGTACTGGCATTTAAAATAAAAGAAAAGAAAATTAAACTATTTCCTCACACCACAGTACAAAATAGTGCCCAGGTAGGACTTGGACTGTTGGCACAAATAACTTGTATGTTTATTACTCAATAATCGTGACAATGTTTAGCAACTCTGAAAAAACTCCCATCAAAACACGTAAGGCACTATACAAACACAAGCTTAGCACACGCCCTTATGTGGGGGGAATAGTCCCATGGAAGTAAACCAAGGTAGAGGGAAGTTAAGTAAAGTATGTTATTCAGTGTTTTGTCCAATTTTTGTCCAAGCTCACTGTGCACAGAAAGCCTGTGCTACCACTTAGGTTGTAGAACCTAACCAGAACCCAAGTGTCCCAACATGTTCAATTCCCTGTCTTGGTTGTCGTCACAGGAAATGGCTGCGGAGCAGAAATGCTGATCTTTAGCTACATAAATACAGCATTAATATTAGAACTTTAGAGTTAAAAGGAAAAAGATTCCAAAAATGCTTCTGCAAATCTTTGACAAAGTACTTGGAGCTCATTTTTCCTTCACATGCTGATGATGTTCATCACATTTGCTGAACACTAAAAATACAAATGCTGTTATTAACATCTATATATCAGCAAGTTTATTGGGTGGAAATTGCTCCTGAAAGATTATTTGACACATGACAGATTCCTACTCAAGATACAGGTTCCAAATACTTGAAATTATGTTACCCTACTAAAAAAAAAAAAAACAGATGTTAAAAACAGTACTAAAGTTCTTAGGAATTTAAATAGGAATTTAAATACAAATTTAAAAGTAGAGCAAGAAAGGTTGGTATTTTCCTAAGTATACACCCAAAAATCGCATCATTAGGGTACAGCTGGACACCGAAATTGCTTCGTTCAGTGTTCAGCTGCAATAAGCCTTCTAGCATTGGCATCCAGGGTGTAAGAACACTTCCACAGAAGTGCAATTGTGTTTGCTGTTGAAACATCATAGCCTGAATCCAACATTTTGCCATTACCCAAGTAGTGGTGGAAGGTGTTTCTCGCCTGAGGGATCTCTGACTTCCCACACATGATTTTTTGTGTGTGTGTGTATTTTCTTGATTTATAACAGCAGTGTCTGCGGTAATGAAAGAGAAGAATAAAACAATGAATTTTTAGCAGTCAGCAGTCTTGAACATTTCTCATTTGACAATAGACAAGCTAATGCATCTAAGTAAATTGCAAAAGGCCTTCTTTCAAGGGAGTTGTATGGTCTTTTAGCAGCTGAATACTATTTCTAGATTTTCCTGGAATCATATCCACAATTAATTACCTCTATTACTCCTGACACCACAGAAATAAAACACTTCCTGGTTCCATTGCTCAGAAATGTATGTTGTACAAGATAATTCTGTGTAAAACTTCCATGTAGAACTAGGCAGAAAATTCCAGAAAGCATCTTCTGATCTGGTGGTATCCAGCATCATGCCTGGTATCCCCAGGATAAAGAGGGTATTCCAGGGTGGAGTCATGAGTTGGTATTAACTTTCAAGAACTCAACAATCAGTGAAGATAGAATATGAGACTAATAAATAGACATTAACTTTAATATCCATGAAAACGATAGAACTGCAGTTTGAAGCGAAGACTGGATCTCATTGGAAGAATGACATAAAAACTTACCGCCCAGACAATTATACATGATCATTGGTCAGAAAGACAAGTGATTATACCAAATACAGACAGTATTTAATTTATATTTTTGCCTTGAAATGATTGTTCTCAACCATATGGTGTACATGTGCCTGAAGCAGTTACAACCATAACAGTGTCTCCCACGACTGCAGGGCTTGCCTTTAGCCTCTTTCCTCCCCAAAGACATTGCCTCACTTGGTGTCCCCTTACCATTCCTTAACAAATTTCAGATGTGAGCAAAGAGTGCAAATGAGGCTGTTTCTCCCTGCCCCAGAACTGAGAGTTTTAGTCTACATGAGGCTGGTTGAGCTCATGAGCACTAGTAATTTAGAGTCTTGCCCCTTTCATATTAATTCTGCATAGGGGCACATGTACCTCTTTAGCTGCTGTAAGATTATCCCAGCTGCTGTCGTCTCTTTGGCCATGTCCAATGTGCCTCTCTGTGCATTGTTTACAGAATCATAGAGGGGTTGACATGGGAGGGGACCTCTGGAGATCATCTGGTCCAACCCCCCTGCTCTAGCAGGGCCACTTAGAGCCAGTTGCCCAGGACCATGTCCAGACAGCTTCTGAATATCTCCAATATTAATCTGATCTTTTTCAAATGTTTGCCTTGCACTGCTTCCCTGAGCAATCAGATAGCTGTAGTAGCAAACCCTTTCCAAGCTTCTTTAATGTCTTCCCTCTGAGCAGGCCATTTTGATCACTCTGAGATCCCCATGTCACCTGTATTGCTGAGGAAGGGGCAGTTGTCGTAGATAAGGCAGGGTCTAGCTCTCCATAAAGGTCCAGCCAGCTCTTGTCCCCATGGTATTAGCTCAGTATTTGCCATATCTGGGTTTGGAGGAAGACTTGTTTCCAAATATTATTACCTACTTGCAATTACTAAAGGAGTATTTTGTCTTCTGTCTTCCTTCCATGTCCCCTCTAAACTAATCTGAGTCATCAGAGAGAGCTTAAAAATTCAAAGTCTGAAAGCCTGGAATTATCCCACAGTTAACCATCTCATGTGGCTTGAAGACTATGGTGTGCTGGCTATATTTAGGTGAGTTTGACAAACTGCAAAGCTGTAATTAAGCTCTTCAGTCATCAGCCTGCTACAGTGCTGTCAAGGCCAACTGAAGCCTTGTTGGGCTTGTTACCATCATACATGTGATGTGTTTGGATAACAAGGTTTTGCCTTTCACAGAGGTGATGGAGACTTTTAATTTGTTCCATGTGTTGTTGACTTTGTGGAAAAAAAATCAAAGAAGTTCAGGTTCAAAAAGTGGT